CGCATACTGAGGGGGTGATGGAGGGGTCCGTGTCTTCCTTGAGGGGAATGGAAGAGTGGGTCTTACTCCCATGGAGATGAGGGTAGATGGGAGTGGAGTGTTGGGCGAGTTTTAGCCATGCTAAGGACTAGAAAGAATTTGGGTCCAAGGGGAAGTGATCGCTTTTCTCTTGGGAGGAGATGGGTGCCTTAGTCCCTGGGCAGGGCAAAAAATGTAGAACAAAGATATGGCAAAATGCCCATTGCTTTCCAAAGCGTGGAGGTTTTATATTGTCATAGTATTTAGGGGGGTAAAGCATCCTTTGTGTTCCTTGCTTTGTGGCCCATTATTACCAACACTCTGGAGTAACAGTGTGCCCCATGGATACGCCTGTCTAGGTGTGAAGGTGCTGTGAGCATCTAGGTTAAGACTAGGCTGTCACATTATTGTCATATAAATAATAAATTGTATTTTAATAACTAGGATCAGGAGAAGGCCATTGAGCCCCACAAGCCTGATCCACTATTCAATACAATCATGGCTGAACTCACCTTGGCCTCAACTTCACTTTCCTGCCAACTCTCCATAACCCTTTACCCCGTTACTAATTAAAAATCTGTCTACCTTCTCCTGATATTTGCTGTCATGTCCCATCATCCACCACCCTCTGGGCTAGTGAAGTCCACAGATTCATTACTTTTTGAGAGAAGTAATTTCTCCTCATCTCTGCCTTAAATCTGTTTCCTCTCATTCTAGATTGTCCCATGAGGAAGCATCCTATCTACATCAACGTTAGCACCTTATAGACTTCAATTAGTAAGCTTTAATTCTATAAGATGCAGTGTAAATGGTGGTCCCAAATTTTTATCTCAGACAGCTCCGGTTGCTCATGAGGGGCCAGTATTCATTGTACCGCTGTGCAGTTTAAAACACTGGCAGAGCCAGTTGCTGGTTAAATACCCATCTCTTTACTGAAAGATGACAATGGTGTTATCCCTCATTCTAGGTGTCAATGATCCATCCTCCAAGACTCATACCAGCTCAGGACATCATTGCTTTTGAGCAGCGCCGACTTTGTAGATCTCAACAACTTACCAAACAACAACAGGCTGGAGCCTTCTTCCTTCTGAAGGGCAGCATTGAGCCGTTTGAGTCCAGGACGAGCTATGATAGTAAGAAGAGGTGGGACCATGCAACTACAGTTCCCCATTTTTATATTCTAGTCCTTACGCAATAAATGCCAAAAATCCCATTGTCTTCCTTATTACCTGCTGTACCTTCTACTAGTTTTCTGTGATTCATGCACAAGGACACCCAGATCCCTCTGCACTAAAGCGCTCTGACATTTCTCTCCATTTAGATAATCAGCTGCTTTTCTATTCCTCCAACCAAAATATATCACTTCACACTTATCCACATTAAACATCATTCGCCTAACTCTAACCATATCCATTCATAAAGTTCTTATTTCTTCATTACATTTTACTTTACCACCTATTTTAATGTCATCTGCAAATTTGGCTATAGTACTTTCTATCCCCAAACCAACATCATTAATATAGATTGTAAATATTTGAGACCTAGCCCTTATGCTTATGGCACTTCAATAGTTACACTTTGCCAATCTGAAACTAGAAACATAGAAGATAGGAGTAGCGAGCCTGACCTGCCATTCATCACGAACATGGCTGATCGTCCAACCCAATAGCCTAATCCTGCTTTCTCCCTATAACCTTTGATCCCAGTCACCCCAAGTGCTATATCTAGCCGCCTCTTGAATACATTCAATGTTTTGGCATCAACTGCTTCCTGTGATAATAAATTCCACAGGTTCACCACTCTAGGTGAAGAAATGTCTCCTCATCTCCGTCCTAAATGGTCTACCCCGAATCCTCAGACTGTGACCTCTGGTTCTGGACACACCCACCCTCGGGAACATCCACCTTGCATCTACCGTGTCTAGTCCTGTTAGAATTTTAGAAGTCTCTATAAGATTTCCCCCCCTCATTCTTCTGAACTCCAGCAAAAACGATCCTAACATAGTCAATCTCTCCTTATATGTCCCACCATTCCTGGAATCAGCCTGGTAAACCTTCGCTGCATTCCCTCGAGAGCAAGAGCACCCTTCCTCATATAAGAAGACCAAAACTGCTTACCTTTAGCAACTGGTGCACAAGGACACCCAGGTCCTGCTGCAAACTCCCCTCTCCCAATTTACAGCCACTTAGGTAGTAATCTGTCTTCTTGTTTCTATTTACATGAGCTGTCTGTTTCCTGATGGCCATTCTTCCACACTTTCCAATATATCAACCCCAAAACCATTAGCTTCATCTGATGAATTAGCCTTTTCAGTGGCATCATATTGAGTGCCCTTTGGAAATCTAAATTCATTACACCTATTGGTTCTCCTTCATCCACCTTGTTTGTTACATTCTCAAAGAGGTCTAATAAATCTGACAAACATTATTTCCTTTCTAGAAAATCATGTTAACTCTGCCTGATTATATTATGTTATGGCTTTCTAAATCTCCTACTATAACCTCCTCAATATGTTAAGTCCTCACTGTAGTTGTGTTTACATTCCTGAAAGTCACTACTGTCTTCAGGATTAGAACATAGGACATAGAACATTACAGCGCAGTACAGGCCCTTCAGCCCTCGATGTTGCGCCGACCTGTGAAACCAATCTGAAGCCCATCTA